TTTTTACAGAGACCACTGGGGATCATCACCAGAGCTAGGGTGTTCATGCTTTGTGTGACTGTCTCAAAAGACAGCTAGCCATTCTGCAGTGAGAAACCCAGACATGTGGGATAACAGCCAGTGTGTTCAAGTCAATCATCTCGACATTAACTTAACCATTTATATTTATAGACATTAACTTAACCTTTTATATTTATTGACATTAACATTTATACCACAACATCCAGCTTAAAAATGGAGGTGGAGGCGGTCACTGCAGCTTTCCGCTGGCTAGAGAACATGACACACACACACATTGTGATTGTAACTAATTCAGAAAGCATGCTGAGGAAGATTAGAACAGGTATGCTTCGTGCAGAGTGGCATGCTTCGCTGCGGAGGACACGAGTGAGGAGTATTGTCTGGATTTTTTCACCGGGTTACGCCGGTGTGCTGGGAAATGAACAGGCGGACAGACTGGCTGGCTCTGCATAACATGGTGGAATACTGCTACATGATAGGGTAGACGTGGTTAGTGCCTTGTGGGAGAGTGTGTACAATTCGGAGGAGCAGATGGATCACCACAGTCTGGTGAAATTGATGCAGTTGGGGGTGACGAGAGGTTCTGGCAGAAGCTCGAGGCTCAGAGGAAAGGCAAGACGGACGTTTAATCAGAAAGCTACTGGCACCATTAGTATTGGAACTCTTCGCTGGCTGCTGAAGATAGGGATGGAGCGCTTATGGGAATGCCCCGAGTGCTGTGATGTCGGTTCTTGAATCAAATCAAATCAAATCACTTAACCATTTATTTTTATCAACATTATCCTAACCTTTTATATTTATAATAAGAATAAGGAAAAACAAAAGACCTTCACCTTCCATAAGTAAATCACCCAACGATATCCGTTTCCTGTCAATGGCGATCTCGCTGAGAATCATGTTGATGTCTGTAGGCTTGAGGTCAACTGATGGAGATACACCTTGACGAAAACTTGAAGACACAACTGAAAAATACAACCATAGTTTTATTTCTTTTTAAAAACAGATCCCCCGATTATAGCTCTCATGTCTGAGTTTTTAGGATTTTGTTACCACATTTAGGTTAGGTCATTACAGGAGTCATGGTCAATTGTGAAGAAACAATATCTGCCCTGATGCAGATTCAAACCAAAGACCTTAGGGCTAGTAGCTGATCATATCGCACAGAGCTATACAACTAAGTTTACTCTGGGGTCTAAATAGGGATCGTCAGGGGTCAGAGCCCCAGCATAGAGAGATCAGTAACACAACTGGCAATAATCTGCAGGCCACCTGCTAGAGCTCCACGGGCCGTAGGCCACGTGCTAGACACCCACGGGCCGTAGGCCACGTGCTAGACACCCACGGGCCGTAGGCCACGTGCTAGACACCCACGGGCCGTAGGCCACGTGCAAGACACCCACGGGCCGTAGGCCACGTGCTAGACACCCACGGGCCGTAGGCCACGTGCTAGACACCTACGGGCCGTAGGCCACGTGCTAGACACCCACGGGCCGTAGGCCACGTGCTAGACACCCACGGGCCGTAGGCCACGGGCCGTAGGCCACGTGCTAGACACCCACGGGCCGTAGGCCACGTGCTAGACACCCACGGGCCGTAGGCCACGTGCTAGACACCCACGGGCCGTAGGCCACGTGCTAGACACCCACGGGCCGTAGGCCACGTGCTAGACACCCACGGGCCGTAGGCCACGTGCTAGACACCCACGGGCTGTGGGCCACGGGCCGTAGGCTACGTGCTAGACACCCACGGGCTGTGGGCCACGTGCAAGACCTTTACGGGCTGTGGGCCACCAGCTGAATAACCCTGATCTAGCAGGCTATCCTACCTTTGGAGCTTTATTAATAAACTACCCCAAACAGGAGAAATCCACAGGTCACAGGACAGTCTAATATTTCAGGGGGTGGTAGATAGGCTGCATGCAGTCGTGGGGGCGTAGGCTGCACTCTCTCGTGGGACGCAGGTGGGTTGGGGTTAGGGCCAGTTCTAGATGTTTTGGGGTCGTCAAAGCATCAGACAGCCCTTTAAAATGTTGGAATGTCCTGTGACGTCATCTGGGGTAGGATATTAATAAAGCACCCTACCTTCTTCTTCTTCTTCACTTTCTCTTTTACCGCCCTGGAAAGAGAGGGAGACATAACGTTTTGCTTCTTGTTCTTTTGGTCAACTCAACCATAGACACATCATACTGATGTAGAGTTTGTCTGATGTTATCTTTCCATCTTGTTCTTGGTCTACCTCATGATCCACGCCCATCTCCTCTTTTAATGTATGTCTTGTATTGTGTGCGCTGTCACAAAGCATTCTTTCCAAGTGTGCAAAACCATTTGGTTTGCTCTTTCTTAGTGTGCAAAACCATTTGGTTTGCTCTTTCCAAGTGTGCAAAACCATTTGGTTTGCTGCCTTTGCATGTAATTTAGAATTAGTTCTGTGATACTTTCCCACTTGACCTTGTTTCTGATTTTATCTCTTCTGGTTTCCCGTGTGGGTTGTGGGGCCCTAGTTTAGGGTAAACAAGAATAGACCCACTGCCTACCAGTGTGGGTTCTGGGGCCCTATTTTGGGGAAAATAAGAATATACCCACGGCCTACCCGTGTGGGTTTCGGGGCTCTATTATAGGGAAAACAAGAATAGACCCACTCCCTACCCATGTGGGTTACAGGGCCTTATTATAGGAAAAACAAGAATAGACCCACTCACTACCCGTGTGGGTTCCGGGGCCCTATTATAGGGAAAACAAGAATTGACCTACTGCCTACCCAAAAGCATGTCGTAAGAGTCGACTAATTGAGAGCTTTTTTCGAAGTCGGGGTGCATCTGCCTGAGAAGCAATGAACCAACAGTCTGCACACAAATGTGTCAGATCTGTCACACGGATGCACACACAACACTCAGGTTCTGGAACAGGACTGCAGTCCAGAAGTGGATGAACAACCAGAAATGTTCACCAGAGTTTACAGCTGGTGAACACAAAAAAAGAAGAAGAAGAAGATCTGTCCTGGTCTCTGCTTCGCAGACATCTTATTTCCATGTTGTCTTGTTTTCTTCTCTGGTTAGTTCTGAGTGTCCATGTCTAGCACTCATAGGATAGAATGTGAATGAATATGCATCGTGTGAGATGTTTCTCTGTTCTGATAGGGACTGTCTTATGCTGTAAGAGGGAGGCTAGCTGTCCGAATGCTTAGTCTGCCTTATTGCATTTGTTGCTAATTTCTTTTTTGTTGCTCAGCCAAGCTACTTTAAGGCTAAGCAAAATATAATCTTATCTCTCTAATACTGTATCTCTTTCTATTTCACTCTCTTTTTTTTCCTCTATCACTCTTTACCTCTCTTTCTCTCTCACATGTTTTTTTCTTGTTCTAATTACTCTGTAGTTCTATTTTCAGTCTATTTGTTTGTCTGTCTTTACTACTTTGACCATGTGGGCTCCATTTCAAAGACATTCTATTTACACTATCAGGTTTTCTCAACATGTGTCTTATCCAATGTCAGTGTTTTTTCCTCATCTTGAGCTCTCTAATACTTTGGTTCAATCTTTTTTCTTTCTCTATTAATTTCTAGCCTTCTACCAATCCGTTCCTCTCCTCTACTAACCCACATTCTGTTATATAATACCAAGCAGCATGTCAAACCTAGAAATGAGTGACTCCCTCACCTATCTCTCACTTTCTACCTCTCTCTCCCTCTCTCTCTCTGACTAGCTCTTTCTTTAACTACCTCTCTCACTCCCTACCTTCCTATCCCCAACTCTCCGACTACCTCTCTCTCATTACCTCCCTCTCCCTTCCCCTCTCTTCCTACCTCTCCCTGAAACTCACCTGAGCCTGTGACATTGTTGGGTGTGTCTGCTTTCAGAAAGGTTTGGCTCTGCCCAGTTAACACCTGAGAGCTGCTGCTGTCGCTGCAACAAGGTGATAACATTACAGGTCTCGTTGTTGTATAATAATCTAGGTGTGGTTATTGTATAACAATCTAGGTGTGGCTATTGTATAACATTCTAGGTGTGGTTATTGTATAACAATCTAGGTGTAGTTATTGTATAACAATCTAGGTGTAGTTATTGTATAACAATCTAGGTGTAGTTATTGTATAACAATCGAAGTGTAGTTATTTTAAAACAATCTAGGTGTAATTATTTTATAACAGTCTATGTGTAGTTATTGTATAACAATCAAGGGCTGGTTATTTTATAACAATCTAGGTGTAATTATTTTATAACAATCTAGGTGTAATTATTTTATAACAATCTAGGTGAAGTTATTATAAAACAATATAGTTGTAGTAATTTTATAACAATCTAGGTGTGTTTTTTGTTGAACAATCAAAGTGTAGTTATTGTATACCAATCTAAGTGTATTTATTGTATAACAATCTAGGTGTGTTTTTTGTTGAACAATCAAAGTGTAGTTATTGTATACCAATCTAAGTGTATTTATTGTATAACAATCTAGGTGTGGTTATTGTATAAAAATCTAGGCGTAGTTATTTTTTAACAATCCAGGTATAGTTATTTTATGACATTCTAGGTGTAGTTATTTTTTTAAAATCCAGGTGAAGTTATTTTATAACAATCTAGGTGTTGTTATTGTATAACAATCTAGCTGTAGTTATTTTATAACAATCTAGGTGTTGTTATTGTATAACAATCTAGGTGTAGTTATTTTATAACAATCTAGGTGTTGTTATTGTATAACAATCTAGCTGTAGTTATTTTATAACAATCTAGGTGTAGTTATTTTATAATAATCTAGGTGTAGTTGTTTTATAACAATCAAGATAAAATAATTTTATAACAATTTGAGTAAGTTATTTTATAACAATCTAGCTGCAGTTATTTGATAACAATTTAGATGATGTCATTTTATAATATCTGGGTGAAGAGACAAGAAAATTATGGCAAGATGACTTTTGATTTTCTTAACCGTTCCACTACTATCTTAAAGTTGTAGACATTTTGAAGTACCATGGAAAGATAACTCACTAGCAATTAATCTTCTTGGTGTAATGATCAGACGTGCGTTGTGTGTTGAGATAGTAGGCAACCACACCCAGTGCAATCAGAATGATGACTGCACAGGTACACGCCACTGCAGCATAGAAGATATGAGTCGATGTTGTCAAGTCATCTTTCTCTTTTGAATCTGTGCAGTGGACAGATAAAATTAACATACATTTTATTGTTAAGAAAATCACACAATCTTCAATTAGTTTTAGAGCAAAGCCAATCACTCCCACGCCCCAACCAACCAAACATCCACTCATGAAACCAACCAACCATTTACTCAACTAACCATCCAGGCAACCAATACACACCAACTTAACCAATTACCCATCCACCCATTGAACCAACCAAGCATTTACCCAGCTTACCATCCAAGCAACCAGCTACACACCCACTCAACCAATTAACCATCCAACCAACAAAACATTTACCTAACTAACCATCCAAGCAACCAGCTACACACCCACTCAACCAATTAACCATTCAACCAACAAAACATTTACCTAACTAACCATCCAAGCAACCAGCTACACACCCACTCAACCAATTAACCATCCAACCAACAAAACATTTACCTAACTAACCATCCAAGCAACCAGCTACACACCCACTCAACCAATTAACCATCCACCCATCAAAACATTTACCTAACTAACCATCCAAGCAACCAGCTACACACCCACTCAACCAATTAACCATCCACCCATCAAAACATTTACCTAACTAACCATCCAAGCAACCAGCTACACACCCACTCAACCAATTAACCATCCACCCATCAAAACATTTACCTAACTAACCATCCAAGCAACCAGCTACACACCCACTCAACCAATTAACCATCCACCCATCAAAACATTTACCTAACTAACCATCCAAGCAACCAGCTACACACCCACTCAACCAATTAACCATCCACCCATCTAACCGACCAAATATAAAACAGAAGTACCATCATCAGGTGACAAGCTGAAGGTAGCATTGCTAAACTTGAGCTGGTACTGATTAAGCAAATCTTTATCATTGGGCAGCCACATTGAGTTATCATCCTTGTCTTTGGACATCCACACGGAATTTT